TGTAATCCCAGCACTTTGGGAGGCTGAGGTGGGCGAATCATGAGGTCAGGAGATTGAGACCATCCTGGCTAACATGGTGAAACCCTGTCTCTATTAAAAATATAAAAAATTAGCCGGGCATGGTGATGGGCACCTGTAGTCCCAGCTACTCGGGAGGCTGAGTCAGGAGAATGACGTGAACCCAGGAGGCAGAGTTTGCAGTGAGCCGAGGTTGTGCCACTGCACTCCGTGCACTCCGGCCTGGGGCGACAGAGCGAGACTCTGTCTCAAAAAAACAAACAACAACAATAACAAAACATGTTTTATAACTCTGTATCCCATGTAGGATCATTTCTGGCACATTTTGAGTACTAATTGAGTACCTATTTAATTAATATTGGCTAAATTGTATTTAGATTACTTGTGCCATGGCCCTATTCCATTAACACATATAAACTAAACATTTACAAGCATAGTCCAATTAGAGGGAAATCATGAATCAAAAATGATACACATTACAATCACAAACTAAGTTTACACATCACGATTCCTTTACAAGTTTTCTACACATCTCCAGATGGGTTATAGAATTGAGCAAAGACACTGCACACACCTATCTACTATAATTTCCCAGTTTATTTAGCCAAAAACACAAGAATAAAAGGAAGAAATGTTCTAAGCTGAAGAATAACAATGTACTCACATTGACTTTTACTTGTTGCTAAAGTGGCACTGACTTACAGTACAGGCTATGTGGCTAAAAAAGAGAACCAATCCATAGCTCAAACAAGACAGAAGTTCACCATTCTCTCATGCTACAGCCCAGAGTTGACAGGTGGTCCACGGTAGGTAGGAAGCTACACTCCCCCAACACCATAGAGGAGAATGGGTACTGGAAGACAATTAGAAATCTCTAATTAGCAATCACTAATCTCTAGCTAATCACCAACTAGTTTCTTTCAGTGTTACTCTCTACCCAGGAAGGAGAAAGAGTTGAGAAAATAGGTAAATATTTGCTAATTTCATAAGTCTTACTGTCAGGACATACATCATGATTCTTACAAAGCTTATGTTAACAATTTGTTATTTATTCGATTTAAGTAAGATTTACCAATATTGAGGCGTCTTGTTTCTTGAACCAAGTTTTCAATGAGCACAGTGTCATGTTCACCTAAGGAGAAAAAAGGCCCAAATGTCTCAGAGTAATACCTCTGCCCACATCTTCGTTGTTCAAGGAACCCATATCCCCATATTCACTCTTCTTCATAGTTACTTGTATTAGTTAATTTTGCTGCATAAAAAAATCCCAAAACTTAATAGCTTATTATTTTTTGTGGTTCTCTGGGTTTGCTGAGGACTTTCTCTGTTCTATGCCAGCACTGCTGGGGCTAGGTGATCTACAATGGACTCATTCATAGATCTCAAGGTTGGCAGTCTAGTTAATAAGATAGGACACGCACTGAGACAGCTGCCTCTGATCCACACGATCTCATATTTCATATGCTTCTCTCCATAGTGGTCCAGGGTTCCAAAGAGAAGCAAGAGAGAGTAAACTCCATGAACAAATAACTTTCAAACCTCTGCTTGTATCAATTTTGCTAATGACCCATTGGCAAAAGAAATTCACATGATTATTCTTAAATTCAAGAGGTAGAGAAGCAGACCCCAAATTTTGAGGGGAAGGGCTTAAAATATTATGACTATTTTGGCAAACAGTGTCTGTCCACCTCCTAGGCATAATCACTTCAAATAATCCCAAATGGAAAATACGCAGACCCACTTCCAGGGCCCCAAGAAATCTTGTCCAGTGATAATGTCAGGCTCAATGCCCATAATCTCTCTGTATCAAGCCCAGACGCAGATGAGGCTACTTAGCCACAGATCAACAAGAGCAGATCTTCTTGATCTGAAAAGATGAGTTATCTATTTCCCTTCAGAAAACATACACTGGTGAGACAAAAACAGGTTAACCACAATGGATACTCCCATTCAAAGAGAGGAAAGGCAGGAGGCAAATAGCAGTCACCAGTTGATATGGCTTGGATCTGTGCCCCCACCAGATCTCATGTTAAATTGTAATCCCCAGTGTGGAGATGGGGCCTGGTGGAAGGTGATTGAATCACATGGGGCTGGTTTCTCATGAATGGTTTAACACCATCCCTTGGTGCCATTATCTTGTTAGTGAATTAATTCTCATGAGATTTGGTTGTTTAATAGTGTGCGGCACCTCCCCCATCCCCCTTTTCTGCATCTGCTCTGACCATGTTACATACCTGCTTCTCCTTCACCTTCTGCCATGACTGTAAGTTTCCCGAGGGCTCCCCAGAATCCAAGCAGATGCCAGCATCATGATTGTTGTACAGCCTGCAGAACCATGAGCCAATTAAAACGCTTTTCTTTATAAAGTACATAGTCTCAGGTATTTCTTTACAGAAATGCAAGAATGGCCTAATATACCTGTCTGTATCAATCATGAAATCCAGCCAAGTGTATGTTATCAGGGATCAGGAAATATTCCTTGATTGTGATGATCAGGACCCAGTTCCTTTCCCTGGGAGTGGGTAGCCTCTGCCCCACCCTCAGAGCTCTTGTCTTCTCCCTCTGCAGCATTCTTTCTTTTCAATAAAAAATATCCCACATTCACAGCAGACTGCTTCTCAGCCTTCCTTCTGATCATAGAAACTTGGGATCCCAAAGGTCTTTTTTCATTTCACTGTTTCTGTCCCTTTTGGTTCAAGCTGGCAGTGCTTGTATTGGCATACTTCTCTCTAAAATTATGTGAGTGTCCTGTGAAACTTATTTGGGCTTACTCTATACTCCAAAAGCCACATCTACAATTACCTCAGACAGGCCTCTGTGTATTGCACCACCTATCAAGTAACTGAGCAATTGACCAGTGCTAACTCTGACTCTTTGTTTTTGTTTCTGGTTCTGATTCTGATGGTTTCTGGTTGATTGTGCGCATACTAGTGGCAGCAGTGTAAAAAGTGGGTTTTAATGTGGTCATTTTATTAAGAAATGTCTGAGGAGCTTGAGGTGTCAGGGATGGGCAGGATAGGAAATATAGAATCTGGCACACTTATTAGCCTTTTTGTTTCTGTGTTTTATTAGCATCTGTAGTAACATGGGACCCTTCACCTCTAAAGATTCTTCTTTGTTTATCCGATAACTCTGGCGTTTTAAGTATTTACTTTTAGGAACCCAATATTGTCAAAATCTGTGAAAATGGAATTTCTATAATGAAAATGAAAATAAACCAAATGCTTAGCTAGCTTTCTTTGACTTCTCTAAAGGGATGAATAATTCCAGATTAATGTCCCAAGACTCTTTAGGGCTAAAGAGAGGAGAGAGAAGAAATTTATATCATTTTAAACTGGGCAAATTGATTCAGAAAAAAAGGTTTTCTAAGAGACATGTATGCCAAGAATTAATAGTTCCTCAAAATATAATCAGACTCAGTCTTTAGAAAATGATAAAAATCAATGACATTATTATAACGTGTATGGACAATGAAAAAATGTTCTGCCAAAGTCAGAAGAGAATAAGAAATTATATAGATCCTCAACAACAATGCTTCCTTGACTGATCAAATGATGCTTAATTATATGCTTTTATTTTGCTAACTGAGAAACATTCTTATTAGCTACTGAAGCCTCTATTTCAACCATCAGTTCTCCAGATCTTTTGCAATCAGTTCCTTTAATTTGTAAGAGTGATAAAATTTCTATCTTATTAATAGAAAATATATTTGAGCAAACAGTTTTATATGCCTTGGTACCTCTGGGGGAATTAATAAACCATGTTATAAGTTATCTTAAAATCTAATGTAGTGGAGGACATTACTCCCAGTTGTGAGGGAATAACTAGGATACACTTGTCCACTCATCATAAAGAACTAGAAAAATTGACTAAATATGTGAAACAACTGTTTTTGGAAATCAGAGAACATACATCAAAGAACTTTGATCCTTAAGAAAAGATAAATAATCAAAATGGACAATAAAATCACTCTGGCTTTCTTCCTGCTAGCACTTTACAATCCATGCTGGAAGAAAGAACCCAAGCAGAGCATAGGAGAGTCACTAAGGTTGTGAAGGGAAGACTGGAATTCAGGGACGCTCATATGGTTGGAATTTGTAGGAAAGAACCAGAGATGAGAGGACCATGCAAGGAAAGAGCTCCCGGAATCTGATAGGGATCGGCTCCAAACTATAACTGAATGCTAAGCTGTGCTTGCATGGGGTAACATTTCGCAGTGTCAGGAAAGGACAATTAGAAACTACAAATGAGACAATTCTCAGAGCTCACAAAGGAATGAGAGACTTCTGAGTTTTAACAAACTATTGTTGGAGAGGCCGCATTGCCCACTTGCAACATTCCCCACCAAGAGTAGAGACTTGAGAGGCATCATTTCTAAATAGTAGGGGTAAATTAGCCTTGCAGTAAAGGCTACACTAGACACGTCCTTTAAAATAGGCCTCTAACATATCAAGAAATCTGCAAGTAATTTAACTCCCTTCCAGAAAAAATGCCAGTGCTCCTTAAGAAAACTCAACAACATAAAAGTCAACACTCAACAACAAGAATCAAAACATGCAGTATTAAGTAAACTAATAATATTAATAATAATAATAATAGACTGAAAAGCTAGAAAACGGGACCCAGTATCCAGGGGAAAAAAGTCATTAAAAAATGTTTTAGCCCAGGCACGGTGGTTCACACCTGTAATCCCAGCACTTTGGGAGGCCAAGGCAGGCGGATCATTTGAGACCAGGCTGATCAATGTGATGAAAGCCCATCTCCACCAAAAACACAAAAATTAGCCAGGTGTGGTGGTGCATGTCTGTAATTCCAGCTACTTGGGAGGCTGAGGCATGAGAATCACTTGAACCCAGGAGACAGAGGTTCAGCGTGAACCATGATTGCACCACTGCACTCCAGCCTGGGTGACAGAGTGAGATCGTCTCAAAAAAAAAAAAAAAAAAAAAAAAAAAAAAAAGTTTTAAAAACTATAAATGATGATCCTCCAGTAGTTCATGAGCATGATGATTGGGTGGTTCACGCACCTGCGTGAGATGTGCCACACTCAAAACTTGTTACCTTGTCTGCACAATGGGCATCTGACCTGAAAAAAAAAAACTGGAAATGAATTATATGACGAAATTATCAAATAAGGATTTGAAAGAGCTAGTGTTAATATGATGAACATTTAATTTTAAATAAAAACACATACATAATACAAAATACAAATAAGAAAATCAAGTCCTAAAGATGAAAAATACAATATTATTTAAGATAAAAATTATCCTGGATTGACTTAGTATAAATCAGATACTGCAGAAGACCAGTAAACTTGAAGATAGAGTAACAGAAACAATGCAAACTAAGACACAGAAATAAAAATAGATGAAAGAAAAATAAACAGAGGCTGGGCATGATGGTTCTTGCCTATAATCCTAGCACTTTGGGAGTCTCAGACAGCAGATTGTTTGAGCCTAGGAGTTTAAGACTAGCCTTGGCAACATGGCGAAACCCCATCTCTATTAGTCAGGTGATGTGACATGTGCCTATACTCAGCTACACAGGAGGCTGAGGTGGGAGGATCTCTTGAGCCCAGGTGGCAGAGGTTGCAGTGAACCGAGATCTCTCCACTGCACTCCAGCCTGGGTGATAAAGTGAGACTCTGTGTCAAAAAACAAAAACAAACAGACAAAAAAAACCTTTAGCGGTTTTTGGACAACATTAGGCTTAACTTATATGAAAAGGAAAAATATTCAAAAGAATAAGGTTGTAAATTTTACAAATTTGATGAAAACAACACACAAACCCCCCCAAACAAAACCACTAAGAAAAACTCACCTAACACATTATAATAAAATTGCTGAAGACCAAGAATAAAAAGAAAATTTTTAAAGTAATCAGAGAGAAAAAAAGACATATACAGTAGGAAAATGCAAAGAATTATTAGTGTTCTCATCAGAAAAATTTAAGCCATAAGACAATGGAGCAAAATCATTTAAGTCCTGGGAAAAAAGTTAACCTAGAAATTTCTATCAAATAAAAATGTCCTTCAAAACTAAAGATAAAATACTTTTTCAAAGAAATCAATAGAAGAATTAAATTCTAAGGGTTTTTGCTGGAACTATAAAAAATATTAAAAGGTTTTCAGGTTGGAGAAGAATGCTAGATAGAAACCTGGATCTACATAAAGGAATAAAGAGTGCTGAAAGTGACTAATATGGGGATAAAATTCGAATCTTTTTCTTGCTTTTAAATTTTTTTAAAGGTATTTTGTTTTGTAAGGAAAAAATAACAGCAATGAACTGTGTGGTTCATAATATAGAGAGAAATAAAATGTATCTAGAAATAGAACAAAATATAGAAGTGGGTAATGGAATAGAATATTGTTGTAAGGTTCCTCCATTGTCCATGAAGTAGTGTTATGTCACTAGAATGCCATAAGAAATTAGAAGGGGTAGCCGAGATGGCCAACTAAAAGCAGCCAGTGTGCGCTGCTCTCATGGAGAGGAATGGAACCTCCCCCAACACAGGGGAACCTCCCCAACTAAGGGAAGCGGTGAGTATATATCCAACCCCAAGAAACCACACTTCTCCCACAGGTCTTTGCAACCCTCATGTCGGTAAATACTTTCATGAACCCATTCCACCAGGGCCTTTAGTCTGACCAACAGACCTACATGAAATCCCAGCAGATCATGTAATCTCTGCTCAGGCACATGCAGAGACCTGGGAGCCTTAGATACCTGGGCTTTCCTGGCTTCCTAGCAAAAGCAGCTGAAACTCTGACAAAGCAGGAGGTCAGGCCTACATACATACCACTAGAAAAGGGGCAGAATCCAGAGAGCTGAGAAGCAACAGTCTATGGGCCCTGCTTCCATGGCACTTCACAGGATAAGACCTACAGGCTTGGAACTCCATCCAGCCACTGGTAGCAGTGTTATACTTCCCTGAAAAAGAGCTCCCAGTAGCAAGGGTCAGCCACTACCTTTGCTGTTTGGCTGAATTAGCCATTTCAGCCTTCAGGCTTTGGAGAGTGTGAGGTGACTGGGACCTGAAGTGGGCCCCCAGCACAGCACAGTGGCTATACACAAATGTGGCCAGACTGCCTTTTTTAAAGCAAGTCTCCAACCCTGTTCCTCTTCACTGGGCAGGACCTTCCAACTGGGGTCTCCAGCTACCCTCATCAGTATTCTCCAGCAGACAGAGTTTTGAAACCTCCCTGGGAGAGAGCTCCCAGAGGGAGGGGCAGGCCACCATCTTTGCTGTTTCACAGTCTTTACTGCTGATACCTCCAGGTACTGGAAAATCCAAGGTGACTAGAGACTAGAGTAGACCCCCAGCATACTACAGCAGCCCCTCAGAAAAGTGACCAGACTGCTATATAGGTGCTTGTCCCCATAGCTCCTCACCGGGCAGGTCCTCCAAGTCTGGGCCTCCAACTACCCCCTGCTGGGCTATTGCGCCAGTAGCAGCTCTGCAACAAACTGGACAGAGTTGCTGGAGGCAACTGAAAGCCTCTCTGCCCTCTGCAGTGGAACTGCATTTACTACCCTAGGACTAATGAAGAAGCAAAGACCCTAAATACCTTATCCATACCTTCAACAAGCTGCAGTTGACCCAAGGAGAGGAAACACAGTCCATCTCCCACAGGTTCTGTACGCCCCGCCCCCCCACCCCACCTTGCTCATAACCAGACAAGAAACCTTTGACTTGGGCCCACACACAGATCCTCCATCCTGGGATGATTGCACTGAGCAGTTGTTGACCTGCATCTTTCTGGGGTGGAGCCCTCAGGAGACAAGCAAAAGACCCTTGGCCACAACGACTACTAAGATCCCTTCCTCTGTTGCCTCCAAGTTGGGGGAGAAACATAAACCCTGAAATGGCCTTAGAGCTGCAGTGGGCAGTGCAGAAGTGACAAGCTGCAATCTACAGCCAGCACTCAAAGAGGAGAGAAGCCCAAACTTTCAGAGCATTGAGAGGGAACCTAGTTGCAACTGTGAGGAAACATAAGGGAGCCACACAACCAAACAGGAGTCTACCAAGTGACCAATAAAGCTAAGTACCATCTACTGGATCACACCCCAAAGCTTCAACACCAAAATGCCTTGCTAACATACGCCCTTGTGAGACCAAAGACAAGAAGTCAGCTTCAAATAAAGACTCTGCACAAACCATGGCACTGAGAAAACATCCAGGAAATAAGTTCATTGACTGTACTCAACCAATGCAAGAACTCTGATAACTCAAATGGCCAGAGTGTCATATGTCCTCCAAAAAACCTTACTGGTTCTCCAACAAGAGTTCTTAACCAGACTTAGTTGGCTGAAAAGACATAAACAGAATTCAGAATATGAATAGAAACAAAGATCATTGAGGTTCATGAGTATGGCAAAACCAAAACCAAGAAAACAAAGAATCACAATAAACACTACCACAGCTGGAAGATGAAATAGCCAGTATGAAAAGGAACCTAATGAATCTGGCAAAGCTGAAAAACACAATACAAGAATTTCACAATGCAATCATAAGTAGTAACAGTGGAATAGACCAAGGTGAGGAAAAAAATCTCAGAACTTAAAGCCTGGCTCTCTGAAATAAGACAGTAAAACAAAAATAAATAAAAAATAATGGAAAGCATTGATAAAAGGAGAGGAAAAAAGCAAAAAAACTTGGAAAATGTATTTCAATATATTGTCCATGAACATATTCCCAACTTTGTCAGAGAGGCCAATGATCAAATTAAGAAAATACAGAGAACTCCTGCAAGGTTCTACACAAGAAGATAATGTTGAAGACACATAATCATCAGATTTTCTAAGGTTGAAATGAAAGAATGTGAAAGGCAGTTAGAGATAAACAGCAGGTCCCCTATAAAGGGAACCCCATCAGGCTAGCAGTGGACCTCTCAGTTGAAACTCTACAAGCCAGAGGAGATTGGAGAACTATATTTCACAATCTTGAAGGAAAAAACTTCAACCAAGAATTTCATATCCAGCCAAACTAAGTTTCATAAGCAAAGGAGAAATAAGATATTTTCCAGATAAGCAAATATTGAGGGAATTTATTACCACCAAATCTGCCTTAAAAGAGATCTTGAAAGGATGATTAAATATAGAAAGAAAAATCATGATCAGCTAATACGAAATTACACTTAAATGCAAAGACCAGTGACACTATAGAGCAACCACACAAGCAAGCCAGCATAATAATTAGCTAACAAGAGAATGACAGGATTAAATCCACACATATCAATACTAACCTTAAATGTAAGTGGGCTAAATACCCCATGAAAAAGGCACAGAGTAGTAGGCTGGAGTAAAAAAATGCAAGACCCAATGCTATGCTGTCTTCAAGAAACTCATGACACAAATATGTTCAAAATAAAGAAATTGAAGAAAATCTACCAAGCAAATGGAAAACAGAAAAAAGAAGGGGTTACAATCCTAATTTGTAACAAAACACACTTTAAACCAACAAATATCAAAAAAGACAAAGAAAGGCATTACATAATGATAAAGAGTTCGATTCAACAAGACGTAACTATCTTAAATATATATGCATCCAACCCAGATTCATAAAACAAATTCTTAGAGTCCTGCAAAGAGACATAGCCTCCCACAAAATGATAATGGGAGGCTTCAACATGCCACTGACAGTATCAGACAGATCATCGAGGCATAAAATTAACAATACCAGTGATCATTAGAGAAATGCAAATCAAAACCACAATGAGATACCATCTTACACCAATGAATAACAACAAATGCTGGTGAGGTTGTGGAGAAAAGATACACTGTTGGTGGGAGTATAAATTATTTAACCACTGCAGAAAGCAGTTTGGCAATTCCTCAAAGTGCTAAAGGAGAACTACCATTTGACCAAGCAATCCCATCACTGGGTACATACCAAGAGGAATATAAATCATTCTACCATAAAAATACATGTGCTGAAATGCTCATTGCAGCACTATTCACAATAACAAAGACCTGAAATCAACCTAAATGTACAACAATGACAGATCAGATAAAGCAACTGTGGTGCATCTACACCATGGAATACTATGCAGTCATAAAAAAAAAAAAAAAAGATTATGTCTTTCGTG